AGGGACAGATGCTTGGCTACTAAGATGGTCAGTTACAAGATGGAAATTTCTCTGTTATTTTTTCCATATTAAAAACATTTCATTTTGCTACACATCTCAAATATCCCATCCTAGTACTACCAGTGCAACACAAGTGATGATTCCGTGACAAGCTGTTGGTTAACAAAAATAATTTGAACATTACAAATAAGATTTTTTTAATCTTGATAGAATGATTCACAATTTGACACACAAAGTAAAATGCTTTTCTCTGCCTTTTTAAAGGGAGGAAAAAATAATCTGAGGTAGCAATTCTTTGAGAATATGGTGCCTGATCTCATGACATATTTTCATCTCTTTTGTCTTTATGGCTTTGTAGAAGATGTCTAGTATCTATCTGGCTTGGATGACTTTGGTTTCCTTGCACTACACCTTCAAATTGCTTACAGTTAATGAAAAATTATGAAATACATTTACAGGCTTCATGATGTGAACCCCACATTTACTGTGCTTCAGAGATCACAAAAAAACTCTGCTTATTCATTTTGAACACCTGCTGTTACTACACTTTAAATACTTAAATGACGTTTAAAAACAGTTGTATATTTTCCAGCCGTTTAAACACAGACACATAAACAGATAGAACACAGAATTTGCTGCTTTAACATAAATTGATTATCATTACATATTTGTTTTACTGTTTGTTCCATAAACACATATATCGTCTTACTAGTATTACAAAAGATCCGTTTACTACATTTTTATCAAATAATCTTAGTAGTTAGTATATAGTACCATCGAGACCATTCTTCAAGCCTGCATTTTATGTGACAGTGAGTTTTGGGAGCACATGTCCCACTTTAATAAATCATATTTCTTTAAAAGTCAGTAATATTACACTGAAATACTAAAATTGTACATCATATATGTCTTTGCTAAAGAAAAAAGTCTAATTAGAAAATTCAAGATAATGAGTCATATTCGTCAATACTGAAGAAAAACTGTTCATAAAATTAGTCCAAGTCCAAAGGAAAGTTAATCATTTAAATATATATAATTAGATTTTATGAATTTTATAAAATTAATTACTTCTGAAGAGCCTTTATGCTTCCTTTTAGGGCTTTTATGCTACTAAAAGTAATTCACACTTTAAGCTATACATGCATAAATTCAGCATTGAAAACATCATTCAGATTTTTCAAATAATTATTCCAAATGAGGAATCTGACTAATGGCACAAGAGCTAGAGGGCCAGTCCCTGTTAAATTTTGGGGTAAATTCTGTTGCATACTTCATCTCTCTGTATATCAAAGGAGGTGTCAAGAGCCTATTATTCCCCACTGTTGTGTCATAATTTTAAAACAATCGACCGTGTACAACTGCTGCAAAATCTCATCTATTTCCTAATAAAAAACTATTCCTTAAAGAGCTGCAAGCAAAAATATTGTTACAAACAGAACAAATGAAGTATTTGAATATCCAAAGGCCCACACACTTAGCTGAAGTTTATTCTGATTTTAGAGAACGCTAGTTTGCTCTCTTCTTAATATACTTTCAGATGTTAAAGGTCACTTTCAGAAGGTGTGTTACTCTCACCTTGGGAGTAACAAGGTGTTTTGGAAAATAAAAGCAAATCCAAGGGAAAAATAATCAACCTGCACATTTATTCAGCTTAAAGAATGAAATATATTTATGAAAATTGTGTTCAAATTGTATTTAGCTAGCAAATCCCTCAAGAAGCTTAGGTACGTCACAGCAACGAGCAAATACACTTTTTCCACCCTGGCTGAATTTCCGTTTTCACAGAAAGCCATGATGATTTGGCATATTGAGACATTCATCAGTGAAGATGGGAGAGAATTCACACCTCACAATGTAATTTAGGCTACAGGTGTTTTGCAGCTTTGCTACCAATTTATGGCAAAGCATAGAAACTCTTCCACTCAGTTCTCTTTCTGTGTGGGTTACTGAAGGTACACATACAGTTACCTACAGTTAGGCAGGATGAATCATACACTTAAAATCTGCTGAAATTTGTGTCTGTTTGCCTTGGATCCAAAGTAACTGCTACGACAGCAACAGCCTGCTGCTGATACCTTATACCATGCTTTCTTTGGTTTACAACATCTGTGTTTTACCCTAAGAAATCCATGACATAAGGAAAATCTTTAAGCTGTGGCTTGATAAGATTTATAGCCTCTATGCATCACCAGATGCATCACAGAAGGCCTGTAGCAGCATGTCTTTATGCAGGGCATTAGATGTAGAAAGCAATGGTGTGGCTCATATATGGCTACCTGTGTAAACAAAGAGAATGTGTCTGATCTGGATCAGCTGTCAGATTCAGCCAGAAAACTGAAGTGTAAATGAAACACTGTCAGAAAGAGTATATTATCAGCTTACATACATGCAGACATACAAGTTGCTACCCTGCAAAACATTCCAGTTTTGACTGATAAGTTGATAGTTTCTTTGCAGTACTTTTGTAAGATATATGACAAACAGTGTATCTACAGTAAAATTGTTCTATTAACTATAATTAAACAAAATTTTATGTTTGGCTGCTCTCGGGAGTAGCCACTTCGTGTCTTCAAGCGTTAATTAAGTGGCTGAATTAAGAACCTAAGATACCTCCCTACACATTCAGCAGAGCATCCAGACTGCTCTGATCAACCTCTGGAAGTGGGCAGTATGTTGCCTGTATAGAGGACACAGGTTCTAAATTTGACGTCTAAAGTAAGTTATTACAGTATACACTAAGACATAGGTTTACAGACATACGGATAATTAGTGAAATTCTAAAGTCCTGCTAGTGGAAGGGCTGGACAGCTTGACTGATCTGTACTTGAGCAGTTCCATGGCGTGAAGGTAAAAGATGAAAATCTGATTTGCCAAATTAGATGTGGCCTTCTGGGACCTTCAAAATCAGAAAGTCTCTTGACTGGCTCTGCGGCAGGTTACCTGATGCTGCAGGAAGGTTGGCTTAGTGCATAAAATCATGAAAAGCTGGAGAAATGTAAAGCTGTTCAGGAAGGACAAGGGCAGGAGAGAGCTCATCTATAGTAAATACACTTTCCTTCACATGGAAGTCTTACGAGGAGTGGCTGAGGGAGCTGGGGTTGTTTACGCTGGAGAAAAGGAGTCTGAGGGGAGACCTTATCACTCTCTACAATTACCTGAAAGGAGGGTGTAGCCAGGTGGGTGTTGGTCTCTTCTCCCCGGTAACTAGCGATAGGACAAGAGGAAACGGTCTCAAGTTGCACCAGGGGAGGTTCAGGCTGGACATTAGAAAGAACTTCTTCACTGTAAAGTTGTTAGGCATTGGAACGGGCTCCCCAGGGAGGTGGTGGAGTCACCATCCCTGGAGGTGTTCAAAAAATGTTTAGATGTGGCGCTTCAAGACATGGTTTAGTGGGTTTAGCGGGCATGGTGGCGTCGGGTATAAGGTTGGACTTGATGATCTTTGAGGCCTCTTCCAACCATAATGATTCTATGATTCTATGTACAGTACAATTTCCCTTACCTTATGTGTACAATTTGCCCTGAAGCTAGTAATACTGGCTAAATACTTGGCCCAGTTTTAATCAGTCATCACTTGATCATACTTTCCTGGAGTAAATTACACTTTTGTTTCTAGAAGGAAGGACCATGGTAAGTTCAGAGCTGTTCCAGTATCATTTTGATTCTGTCTTTGGTTTCATGGGATATAACGAATACTCACTGTTCTCACTGCTGTTCCAGGGACATCTGTCCAGCCCAAGTACATGGACTCCTTTCCTCATTCCCACCACTATTACAGCAGAGCTCTTACTCTGACTACATGCCTCATATCTTTCACTTTGGAGGCTGGATTCCAAAATTAATGGTGATAAGTTCATTATGAAAAATCTGACTTCAAACTTTCCTTCCAGGCTTAGAGAAAAGTGCAGTGTCTAAGGATGCAGGAGAACACCATTCTATTCATGATTGACATCAGAGTACAAATTCAGTGGGAAAGAAGCTTTGCTCTCAAAATCTAGATTCTATTTTAATTTTAAAGCTACAGGTGATAAAAACCACGAGAAATAAATAATTTACAATTCAAATAGTAATACAGCTGCAATATATTAGAAATATAGTTCAAAAATTACTTCATATTCTTAATTAGTATAAAGTTTAATTTTATGCTTTCTGTAGAAATGGTAGCTTTACTTCTTACTGCTGTCTCAGCATAATGAAACAGAAAAGTTCCTAAGCAGCTAAATAGCATTGGGAAATAAAAAAATATTTTATTTTGCTTTTTTTTTGGTAATAGAAAAATAGCCTTTAAAAAGACATTGTTAAACATATGGGCTTGTACTAAAGTAGAATTGTATATTATATACAGTAAGGCAGTGTATCACATATTGTCCTGCTATTTTTTTCATGTTTGGTTTGATTGGACTAGGATACGAATGGGATGCAAAGTTTTCTGTCACAGTGAAATAAAGCAAAAATATGTTTAGAAGAATTTGTTATGTTACTGTAATTTGTTGAATATATTCTCTTTTATACATGATTTGTCATATATAAGAGCTCCTTTTGTTTTAAGGATTGAGAAAAAATATAAAGAAAACAATCTAGTGTCAGAATGTATTCAGAAGAAAATACATTGTAGATCAGAATGCTGTTGTGCAATGATTATCTGATTTAGGAACTGCTCAGATCATTATGGTGTACTGACTGACCTGTAACAATTTCAGTTTTCGTTGAATCTGCAGTATTCCCTCAGGTTTAATCAACTAACAGAAGATCTGCAGAGCTGAATAATTAGTTTACAATGTATTTTTCATGGCAGATAACATCCATTTCCTCATTTTCCTGTGTCAGAAACATGTGTTAATGATCCAAGTTTTACTTCCATGATTATTACCTCAATCCACAGTTTATTTTATTCTCTGTATAACATACACAGGAGGCTAGGCTTTTTTAAGGAACTATTTTGCTATGTGGTTTTGTTTTACTGTACATAGCTACTAAGTATGTACTGTACTAACTACTAGTTATTTAAAGGAGGGCATAAAGGAAGATGGGTCCATGTACTCTGATCCACTGGTCTCTCTTTTGCATTCACTTGGAAATGTCAGACAGTAGCTCATATTTTTCTCAGCTTGATCTTGCTGAAGGTTCTGAGATGTTTCCATTGCAGGTTCTTGAGACACAGATGTGTGCTGGATGCGTGAATCTGGCATTAATACTAGAATATTATGGTCCACAACTGTTGAGATCTTGGTATATTCTTTGCTGGTTCCTGGAACAGTGCATTTTTCTGTCTTTCCACTATTTTCTTTATGTTTCAGTAATACTGCTGGCTCCTCATCTTGTCTGACTTTGTGAACTTCTACATAATCCATTAGTTTAGGATTCAAAAACGGTGACTTGTCATTACATCGGTTTTGTTTGACCTGCACTGTGGTTTGGTCAGTTTTGGGATGCAAATTCTCCATTTCTCTTTGCTTTTCCACGTCGTCGTGGACAGTTTCATTGATAGGATGTGGTGACTGATGCTTTTCTTCATTTCCCACCAAAATTGGTGGAACGTTCACATTTGTGGTATTCAGTGTTATCTTATGTGCATCTACAATACTGTGGTAGGCAAACATAGGAGGCTGATTATTAGGTAACTGAGCTGCAGGCCACGTGGACGATTTTGTACTCTCATTGTTAAAAGGGAGTATTTTCTGTTCTGAGGCTATACATTGAGTTTCCCAGCTCCTTTTTGCTCCTTTATTTTCTTGAACATCTCTTATGTCTTGTGTCTGAAGTGTTGATGGAAGGGCGCGGGACTCCCTGCACTTAGCAGAAAGCAGAGAAGGGCTATCACAGCTCCCTCGGCCTGAGTCACTGTCTGTTTCCTTGGGTGTCACTTTTACATTTTTACTGGGATTACCATTGTCATGGTGCGGCATGAGTTGCTGATCCTCACTGTCCTCTACCTCCAGGTATTCTATCAGTAGTTCCTCACAGTCTGATGTTGGAGGGAAACCATGGCAACCAAGAGCATTCAATAATTCTTCAGATTTTCCTGACTGGGGGTATAATAAATAAGACATGTTTTTTTCACTGTTAACCTTAGGGTTTCTCTGACTAGAACAATTGTGAACAATCCACATATTTAATATACAAATACTTCAATAGTTATATCACTAGACCTAAACTGGATTCCTACTGCTGCAGAAAATAGTGGAAGAACAGAAGAAAATTTCTTGAGTTCCCTCAGTGGGGAGACACAACCCCAGAATTCATGTTTCTTAAATGAGAGGACTAGGGAGCTTTTGGCAGGTATGGGTCCCATTGGTTTAACAAGAAGGAGGTGGAGCACAATGATAAAGCAGCCATGTCCTATGTCCTCAGCATGGCAAGAGACTGTGGAGAGGAACTTTTGTAAGAACTACTAGGAAGATCACACAGGCATTGGCTTTTGGGGTGTCCCAGGGAACAGCTGCGGTCACAAACTCTGTTCTCAAATGCCCTCCTACTACTAATGCAAGGGAAGACTCTGTCTCACATACACCCTCCACAGGATCAAGGTGAAAGTGTCACTTATTTTTAACATTGATTAAATTAATTTAAGCTGTTTTATACTTTATTATGGTAATTGTGTTTTCTAGTACGTAATTTGGAAAAGCAAATAATGGTGAATTCTTTTGGTATCAGTGGTACCCACCTCTAACAGATGTGTATCTATGCCTTTTATCTTCGGTCCCGGAACTGGTGGTAGGATAAAGGCTATCATTCTGCAAAAAACAGAACAAACACACAAGGTGTAAATATGGGCTCTATCTCTCTATTTGTTTTCCCCTTCCTTGGTATGTGACTGACATTTTAAACACTTCTCTCATATCTGATACCTCCCTGTTGGACTTTTGTTTCCTATCTACCTCTCAAGCCAGGTAATTTACAAATCCAGTTACAATTCATAAGCTGCCCTTAGATGTATTTATAAGAAAGAGAACAGTACAAAAGTTATTCAACTGGAAAAGTAACACTGCTAATATCCTTTTATTGTCTTTGCCCCTTAACCTCCAGTTCTCTAATATCACTGTAACTTCATCACTGGCCAAAAAACAGCTATTTGGGGCACAGTTCAGGAGGACTAATGGACCTGTATGTACATACATGACTGTCAGCTGACTACTACTAAACAGGATTCATGATGAATGACTTCTAATGGCTTTTCCATCAACAGTTTCTATCTCTTTCTTCTACTCAGCCAGTATTTTTTGCAAGATTTGTAGAAAAGTCATAATCTTGCGACACCTTTTTCTTTCAGATTTGATTGAAATTAGCCAGTGTTCTAATAAATTATTTGCAGAATTGACATACAAATGGGCAGAAAGACGACCTCATATATATATAAAAAATATATAAATAATATAACTTTGTTTCCTTTAGGAAATTAGGGCAAAAACAAAAGACTTGTCTTCTACAGGAGCAGGGATACCCCAAACGGTTTGCTTAATACTTACATGGCTAACCAAGATGGTCAGATCTAATATAGACATGTCTTTACCAATTGAGAATTTAGCCTGGTTTCCCTAAAGAACAGAAATACCTCTCTATCAGTTGCGAATTTAAAGTCAAATACCCGTAACTTATAGTTTATAAGAGAACACAAAATGTATAGGAAATTGAATCAAATATTAGAAATAAATTTTTTTAAAGTTTGCTGAGATTTTCAACTCCATGCAATTGTGAAATTGGTGACTTACCTGTACCCTTTCAAAACCATTGTCCAGCTCATAATTAAACATATTAGAGATGATAAGACACCAACGATGATCCACACAACCATATCTTTTACTCTGAAGTCTAAGAAACAAAAAGAACTATTTAAGGACACACATGTAGCATATGCATAGTCAACATGCAGAAAAAGTCTCAAATTGCTTTTATTTTAAAAATTGGTCTAAACTGTCAAATCTGGTATTGAATCTAGAAGCCTTTGGTAGCACAGATGGATTTCAGCAATCATTGTAATATCTGATAATAAATATATTTTTTTATTAATGGCACTGTGTGGGAAATAAACTGTCTTGGAAAAATGATACAAAAATGTATGAAGAGCCAAATTTTGCAACAACCAGTTATAGCAATTGGGTTCAAATCCAGTTATGTCAATACTGTAGTCATTTCATTATTAAATACATATAATTCATACAATTAATTAAATGGTGGCTTAAATGATCTAAGACTAGATATTTTTAAGCATTTCTATTGTAACATGACACTTTTTACATTGAGGTTTCTTTCAAATTCATTCCAGAAAAAGAGTAATGAAGAGCTGTTACTGTCTGAAGGCAGTCACTCTTTGTTGTCTTTGTAGCAGTTTTAATGCAGGTACCGGTATTCTTTTAATTAAAAACTACCATCATGAGAACAAATGAGCCAATAAACAGAAAAGACACAGTTTGCGTAATTAAAGAAATTGATTCACCTTCTTAACTCCAAAAAGTAAGGAAGCGAAAAGCTAAATGGGTATGGTGCAGGGACATTGAGAATTCAGTTACCTTAGCAATGACGTTCTTGCCTGTCCTAGGGAAACTATGGGATGTCAATCTGCCCAGGTGCCACAAACAGCTAACAGAACTATTACATGAACTTCCATATAGGAAAAATCACTGAAGGGATGCTGGACCACTCACCGGTAGGGATCTGAACATACTTTTCTGAGCTCCATTCACTCCATGATCCGTGGTGGTCTGGTTTGCAGTGAATCTGTACAATGTACTTCTTCCCCGGATTTAAACTAAACATTTTACATTGTGTTTGCTGTCCAACAAAAATAGTCTGGAAATTAAATAAAAATCATAACATGCATGTAAAATTGAGACATTTTTCTATGAAAATCACAGCTAGATTTAAGTCTTGATAACCAACTTGGGAATATAGAACAAATCTGAATGGCTTCCTAATAATTGTTATGCAGGCATGGAATAACAGTACATTTATTTTATTTCTATAGTTCAGCTTTCCAACACAATACAGTGGGAAAGAGATCTGGCACTGGTATACTCAGCAAATTAAACTACTACAAAAACACATCATGAGCATGTGGCAAACAGGGAGGAACTGCGGTGATGATGGGAGCTACAAGAGTGAGAAGAGGAGAAAGAGGCAAGAAACAGAGATGGGGGAAGAAAGTACAGAAAGAAGGAATGTGGAGTTGGTGGAAATGACAGGGTAGTAGAAAGTGGATCTTGCAATGGCCAGGGGCCTGGGAAGTGCAGTGGCAGGGGGAAGGAAGGAAGAGATAGAGAGATGGCTAAGAAATATTGCAGCAGACGAGAAGGGGATGCAGCCAAATACCAATAGGTGGAGTCTTTAAACTGCTGCCCAGTTGTCCGAGTTGTAGATCCTGGCTATAGCCAATTATTATTATGTGACCATGACAACTATCATCTAATGGCTATTTGTACAAATTTAAATGACTTTAGGTAATGTCACTGAGCTTTCTGTTACCTTAGAAATACTTGTGGTTAAGAACAAATTATCACAAAAGAAACCTGACTAAATGAGAATGAACAATTTAAACTGTGATGCCAATATGATTAATATATAATGGCCACAATTAAAAATAAGTACTTTATCACCTGCTATCACATAACAGCGTCTAAGATACCAGTATTCTCAGTAGGAAATCACAGATCACACAAGCACTTTTGAAAAATGATGAACTATTCAGTGTGCCTCCTTCGTTACATTCAGGCATGGCACCTGGCTGACAAAACATAATTGATCAGAAAACATCATCTAGCAAACACTTGCAACATCCTTACCTCCCATTCCTCTCCTTCTTCAGGTTTTAGGCGCAACTCATATTCAAGGGTAAGCCATCCAGATCTGACATCAGCCAGCGGGGGTGGAGACCATGTCAAGACCAGATATGGTTTCCTATTTACTGATTTTTTTAATTCCAGAGTTACATTCACAGGAGGATCTGGCTGTACTGTTAAAATAAAAGAACCAACAATAAGAGTCTAAATTATTTCTTTTTTCCTTGCATCTTAGGAAGAAATGTAAAATGGTGTGAGTGGCGACCTGTGTCTAGTAATTTAGAACTGGTGCTGGAATGCAGGGATCAAGAGTTTCTTGATAAAGTAAGCATGGATTTATGAATTCAAAGAAAAAACTGAGGAACAGTAAATATGTTAAGTTCATGTTGAGATTTGCCTTAATAATTTTTTCTTACATTACCATTTATTGTCACTTTTCCCCACAACTACGTTTCAAAGTTAACATATTTAATGCTATGTTATGAAAGTTGTGTTTTACCATAATCTTATCAAAGTTGGCATATATATTTAGGAACACTGAAAACATAGATGTTGCTGATGAAACTTGTCCCCCATGTCTTTTGCATTCAGAAAACACAACAGCATAATCCCTACATGCATATGTAAGGATACTTAAAAATAAAACAAACCAGTAATATGAAAGCCCTGTCTATACCTCAAAATTAAACCAAAATGGAACGCAGGTTTCGGCTACAGTCAGGCTTGCAGCTTCCTCAGTTCAGAGGTAGAGCTTCTGCATATTGTGCATGTATTTTACCACTGTCTGATGCAAACCTTCATCAAGTAAGTAGTCATGGTATGGAGCTAAAATGCAAAGCCTTTTCTCCACCAGCCCTTTTCCACTTGCTAGACTCCTGGCACCCAGATCCTTGATAACAACATCATTATTGGAGACAATGTTGCATTCCATTAGAAAAAAACCTAAATACTTGTCCACAGTCACTTTGTGGAAAAAGTCTGAGAAAAGAGATTATCAGTACACTGCTATGAAAAGCACTAATTCAGCTTCTCTTAGGTCTGGAAACTACTTTCAGGTAATCAAATTTAAGTATTATTAGTTAAAAGATCAATTTGATTTCAGTTGTTGATAAAGTGGAAAAAGATTTTAGTTGGATGATGTTTCTTAGAGCTTGACTGAAAGAAATATGGAAAACCAATAAATGGTTATCTGAATGTAGTTTTAAAGCTTTTAGCATTTTTAGGCTTCCTTTGAAAATAAAATGGTAAATGGATGGACTTATTATTACACCATGTAAGATCTTATTTGTTCTTCCAAGTTTTTAACTTGGATATAATACTATATATGAAAGGGCTAGAATTAAAATTCTTGTGTCAAAACCCATAATTTTGAATTATTTGGTTCCAGAAAATACTTTTTATATTTTACCTATGTAAGTCACATCCACGTAATGAGGATCAGAGACGTTACTTCCCATTTCATTAGTTGCTCTCACAGTAATATTGTATATAGTCCAGAAAGAGGTGTGCTTTTTATCGAAGTAGCATGAATTGGGGCCCGCAGTTCTATAATCTGGACATTCATAAACTCGTTCTTCTCTGAAATGAAAGAATCATAGTGATGAGGTTACACAGACTAAAACATCTGACTTCAGCATTACTTAGGGCTGGATCAGATTTTTCATGCCTGGCAATTTGAAGAAAATCAGAAAACTGCTTTCAGACCAAAGAGTCATTAGACAATTCCAGAGACTGTAGTAAGCATTTCCCTCCAAAAATAAAGAATACAAAGCCTGAAGAATTTAGGCTGTTGCAGATACAGCAGTGGGCTGGTAGAGAGCAGCTCTTACTTTTCTGAATGCCACTGGCCACTGCATAGCCCTTACAGGTTCCAGAGAGCCAGTATAAGTGATTGCCGAAGTCGTCTAACCCATCTATTAAAAACTGAGTATTTCCAATGTTCATTTCACACTTACATGAGTTCTGCATATTACATTAATATGCTTTCAGAATCTATTTTGGTCTTCCATCACCTGTTCCTCAAAACAATTCTACTTTTTACCTGTCCTCCAAATCCATTCTCAAGCTTCCCAAGGGGAGCAGGGATAGGACAGAAAGTTGAGTATGTAGTACTTGTTTCCGGGCTCCTCTGAGATGCACAATAACAAAAGAGAAAGTTGTGGCTGTGGACCTTACACTCTGCCTTGGCTGGGTGGACCAGTATCTGTCTTTTTCCACCAAGACCTGGCTCTCAGCTGACAAGTACAGAGTTTAGCATCCAGTTAGGTCAGTGCAAGGCCAAGCAGTGCTGGGTGAATCAAAAGTAGTTCACAGGACTCAAACAAAAAATTGACTACTCCTTTAAATGAATGTTTACCACTTGATCTAAGTTCCAAAACCAACATTACTGCAGAAGTCAGAAGGCATTCATAGCCTATGAATACTTTTGCAAAATGAGCATTATCAGAAGATGAAAATTTTAATATCTAGTCATTTTGGAAAGCTTTATTTCTGGGGCTGCGTGGCTGAAGAGCTACAGGACTGTGCATTTGTATTGCATACTACTATGCAGCTGCTGTGCCACAGCAACTTTCAAGGCAGTCTATCTTCCAAGGCAGAAGAATTCACAGAAATTTGAAAAACCTGACATTATAAAGAGATCCTATTTCAACCTTAAATGTGTTGCTGCTAGTGCTATTCCAGAATATGTCACTTGGACAAAACCACATGCTATGGAAAAGAACATCTCCTAAATGAAAACCCAATCAGGATTGACTTTCCAGGTCCTTCCAATAAAACTCTGAATAATTACACACAGCTTATTACCCTTCTTTGCTGTAAAGCAAAGTGTGGTTAGTAGGATGTCCTCTATCTGAACCAGGTTTCCACCAACAAGTAAATGTTTCCTTTTCTGGAGAACGGCATTTTGTTATTGTAGGCTTTTCAGGAGGTGACTGTCCTGTAAGAGATAAAGAAATGAACTAATTAGCAAGTTTATTGCATTAGGTCAAACCTGAATTCATAAAACTATGTCAAGTAGAGCACAGGAAAATACTTTTTTTTCTACAAGGAAAGAAAAAGTTTTATTTCATATTAGCATAGGAAAGGAAGGACAGTTCATTGGTTAGAGCAGCAGCCTGTTACTTTGATCTGGATTCAAAATCCTCTCCCACTGCAGCTATGCTGAGGAACTATGTTTTAGTTCCCTGGCTGTGGCTCTTCTCTGCCCCCAAATCTGATAAAGGGTGCTCAAATACTGTTACAGTAGGTTCTATAAAATTATTTGAAATACACTCTGCTATCCAATCAATTTTCTACATAAACCATTTTTGTTTAAAAAGTGTGTTTTAAGATGCTTCTGATTGTTTAAAAAAATGCTGTCGTTTGTTTTGTCTTTTACAGGAAAAAAATTAAGAACGTGTTTGCCCATTTTTTTATGTCCTTGCCAATAATTCTGAAGTACCTATGCTGAGGTGACTCCAAAGATACAAAGAAGCAGCTCTCATATTTCCTTGTAAAATGATATTATGCTTAGTACTCAGGCTACTTGCCTGATTGCTGCCAAGCAATTTATAATTATATTTGGATTCCTGACAATGTTTTTACAGACTCAAGCAAAGCACTTAGAGTAGGGCATAGGAAAATGCTTAAATTTTGAATAGGATGATGCTAGTCAAAACCCTGATGTGATCGAAACTTTTGCAGTTATGTATTTGTGGCAAAATACAGTCCAATTACATCAACATTATATATATTTTCTACTATTTAGAGTAGGGACATTGATTTTCCAAATTTCTAATTGCCTAAGGCAGATCTGAAAATGGGAGATTTAAAAATATTTTCCTATTAACAGTACTTCAGCAATCTCCACGTGAAATAATGAATAATACAATTAGTGACTGAAGAATATGATTTAAGACAACCTGGCTGAAGTGTCTGACAACAAGATATGATGTCATGCATATTTAATGTGTCCATTCAAACCCAACAAATCACAGATAATTAATTCCATGTGATAGTAGCTGCAAGTGTTATGTTCTGTTAGATATGGCAGTGCTTTCAGTCCAGTTACTAGTGAAAAAAGAATGATTCTTACACAACTACCATTACCTGATATCTATAGCTGCAGAAGAAATCAACATGATTTTTAAACAGAGGGATAGGAGCAATAAATTATTTAGGCACATCTGTATCAGAAATGACTCCCTAGTAAATCTCAGCCTGTTTGTCATAGCCAACTTCAGCAGAGGATCCTGAGTGGACCAAGACTAAATATGCAATTACACACATGGCATGGTAAAATGCACTAAGTTGTTCCTCCAGCACTATGAAGTATCTGTGTGAGGAACTGGGTTTTCAGGGCTGCCATTTAGGCACCTTTCACAGCACTGAACCAGCTAGAATTTAAAAACAACTAACAGAACAGCAATCATCCACTCACCATTGGGGATCTGAATGCGTCTTTCGGAGCTCCACTCACTCCATTCTCCAAGGTCTAACATGCAACGGACCTGAACAACATACTTCACCCCAGCTTGCAGCTTTGCAGACACTTTGTACTGTGTCTGCACTCCAACAGATACTGTCTGGAAAAGAAAATGGACTGGAAAAATAATAAAGAATTGGGCCATTTTAACAAATAAACCATGAAGAAATAGGCTTGTGTCACTGACTCCTGAAAGACATGGGTTTCAGTCAGGTATTTTATAAGATGTGAATCACAAAGAAGCAAAGGTAGTGGTAGTGACTTAACAGAAAAACTCACTTTAGTGACACTGAGACTCTAATACTCGAGAACATATTTAACTGTAGACTTCCTATAACTTAGTACTCCACCAGATCCACAATGCAAGAAACACTACAGGTAGTCCAACTCACAGGTAAACCCTCTGTGTAATGCTTCTTAGTGGCTAGTTTTAGGGCTTATTAGTAAGCGCCTTCCTCAGTCCCTTTGAATCGCTCTTCAAAAGTCTTCCAAGACATGCAGCTTTCTCCATCATTAAGGCATCAACAATCTAGGTACATTGAGGCCACCTGACTATGACTTTAAGAACAATATTTTATCCTGGTATCTCAGCTGTGGTAGTACTATGGCCCACTCCCAGCAAAATGGCAACAGCTGGGAATGCCAATGGAAATTGTGTGGGTAGGACACCCCAAATTTTCTGAGAGGGGGGCTGCCCCCAACTGAGCATGTTAAAGAGGATGATGACGACGATGATGACGACGACGATGATGACGACGACAACGACTCTCAGCCCAATTAAACAGTAATTAGGGAATAACCGAGAGACTTCTGAAACAAAAAGGGTCAGCTTGGAAAACAATATTAAAGAAGCATGAAAATTTGTAATAGTGGGAGGAGACTGGAAACTTCAGCAGTAGCTATCAGAAGCTGCATGGCTAGCATCATGCCATCTGCCTAGGCGAGGCAGAGCAGCCTCCTTCTCTGATGCTGCGAGTAGCTGCACTCCAGACAGCGTGGGCTGCAGCAGGCAGGAACCCACACCTGGGTGTATGCATGTGACTGTGTGGGTGCTTTCTCACTGATGTCTGTCTTAGCAGCCTGTAAGAAGGGATGTGGGTTCACATTCAGTTAAAGCATCCATGTCCCCTGCAGAAGTGGGTGTAAATAGGGGAGTTTGTACTCCCGGGGGGGTGGGGTGTGCTTGTAACCTGCCCTTCACATGAAAGGGGAATTTCTGTATATAGCATATTTCTGGGACTAGTTATAGCAGTTGTTTATAAATATGTAGGTGTCTATTAACATTCTTAAGTGCCCCGTATTGTAATTAATCTGTTGTATTGCTGATACTGACCTTGACTGCACAGTTAACTGATTGCTTGTTAATTACATCTTAATGAATCAATAAATTGCTTTGATCCTGATTTGGTTTAAACTATATGAACTGAGCAGTCTCTTACTGTGACACTTGGGAATAGACACATTGATGAAAATTACAATTAAATATTATATCAGTGGACTAAATAGTTTTCTTTAGAATATGACATTAGGAGAATTATACAAATACCTTGAATTTTACTGTCTCTACAAACCACTACAGTATTTTTTTTTTACTCAGATTTGGTTATGTTAATTTTTTCATCCTTACAGAAACTAAAATTTTTATGATACCAGTTAAATTCAGACAAGAGAACTCACTGAAAAGAGCATTTATACAATAAATATATTTTTCCATTACCTCCCACTCTTCCTTTTCCTCAGGTTTTAGTCGTAGCTCATAGTGATATACATGTGAATTAGAGCTGACATCAGCTAATGCAGGCGGAGACCATTTTGCCCAAAGGTATGTTATGCCAGCAGATGTTTTTGTTTCTAGAGACAGGTTTACAGGAGCATCTGGCTGAACTGTATAAATCAAAAGTTTGCCATTAATGATTTAATTTTCTCTCAGAAAAGGCACCTCCTTTGCAGTTTTGTACTTCATCACATTAATTTCAGATAATTCAGCACTTCTGTAGGAAATAGTACAATAGCCTTTTTTTTCTTTCTCCCTAGTAATGTTTAACAGGCTACTGATTTACCAGACTATCAGCAAATCTTAGACTTTACTCTGAATTTGTCAGGCTAAGTAAATACAAATCATCATTTCATTAGGCCACTTTTGCAAAATTAAAATGTCACATATTTCAGATCTAAAAAGACTAAGTAGATTTATCATTACAATGTGTAGATTATGTGCATGCAGAAAGCAGAATGGAGTTAGGAATATGAAATACTACAAAAAGCCCACAGAGTGCTTAGGCAGTTATTTTTACCCTCCCAAGACTGCAATGCCAGCAGCCAGAAAGACGTTTACATTTCAAAAATTTAGGTAGCTTAACCTAATTTGAAAGTTTTATAATCTGCAGTGCTAGGAAATGACAAAACTGTCATTGAATCTAATTGAAATACTGGAGATAAGTAGAAACTGGAGCAAATTTTTCAGCCAAAGTTAAAACAATGATAAAATACGTATTAATTTATAAGTAAAATGCAGTTTTCACATAAATTAAAGATGCATATTTTAGATCATCTGTAGATAAACACTCCTCCATAGCAAATTTCACATCATGAGGAAAGAAATCTTTCACCACTACCTGTTCTGGGATTAAAAACCACATACATCTCCAACTAGTTTGTTTTCCATTTCATTCTTCTCTTTTTACCTATGGATGTCACATCCACATACTGAGGATCTGAGCTGTTACTTCCAATGTCATTTGTTGCCTTTACAGTGATATTGTATGTTGTCCAGGGATTAGTGTGGTTTTTATCAAAGTAGCAGGAACTGGGACCTGATGTGCAGTAGTCTGGACATTCATAGACTTTTTCTTCACTGAAATAAAATTATTTAAAAAGTTAAAAGTTTAGGAAATGAAGCAAAGCAGATAATATTCTAGTAATGGCCTAGGTTCAGCAAAGAAATTTGAAAAGTTTAACTTTAAACCTGTATATAATCCCACCTCTGGGAAACATTTTGGTGAATGTCAAATGCTATTACCATTAATGCTTCACTGATATTTTTACCGCAGTTGTTCAGGATGAATGCTTCTATCCCCCTTTTTATACATAGGAATATGCCAACAAAAAACTGGAAAGAGAAATTTCCAGTGGCAGCATAAGGCAATTTTAAAAAATGTTTAAAAGCAAGTTAAAAGGCAAATTAAATACATTCGCTTTGAGTAAAGAAGAAAAGTTGCTAAATATCTTCTTTACATATTTCCCCATGAAAGTAACATGATGGGCCCTATGGCAGAGGAGTGTTTTATTGATTATTTTGTTTTCAGCAAGATGTTAATTTATCTGTTTTTTAACATGATCATCATCACAACTGTCTCAACAAAAAATATTTGATTAATTCATTATCTCTCACCTATTACCTTTATATGAGTCTTCAGATTTTTTAGATGGATTGTTTTGTACTCAATTAAAGCTGAACAGGGTCACATACTCAGAGTTTATCCCAGGTGTGAAGAACTGCACAAACCCAAAGCTCCAGCTGAGGTTGTTCAAGGATAACTTTAGTCCCAGTGTTATGCTCTATGCACCGCTAATAACAAGGCGTCTTCAGTTTCCAGGCAGTTTTGTCATGGTTCACAAAGAAAAGATGGGAGTAAGGGGACTGTACCTAAGAGACATTGAGCTAAGAAGGGCAACTGTGGTGCAGATCAGGAGTGCTTGGCAGTGCCTGGTGTTCAGCAGATTTAATGAAATGGATAAGCACTCCTATTCAACCCCAAGCAGGACTGTTCTGGGCTGTGATAGGTATGACTTAAAATGTTCATTAAAATTTCTGTTTTGATCAAAACATCTGGACTTTTATAAAATAAAAGCTCTCAGACCATTGTTGAATGTGGTGACTTCATTAAAGGCTGCATCTTTCCTGATCAATTAATACCAAATGATTTGGAGTTTATTTAATTGAAGTAGGGAAGTCTGAGGCTTTACCTCATCTATTCTGAACCTCACTGGATTTATTCAAAGAAATTGAATCTCTGAGCCTCCCTGCTTACTTGGCCCTGTTCAGAGACCTCTTGTTTTCAGGAAGAAAGGGCAGTTATACAAAGAAGCACAGCTTAAACAAAGTTGCTACACATATACACATTTTATTCTTAAACAGGATGAGGGAGTCACAGACTTTACCAAAACAGTAACTTTTGAGATGCAATACCCACATCTGATTTTACTTCATTTTGGGAACCATGAGGTTGGCTACAAATCCAGAAGGGGAAGCAAAGACTTTCTATAGATTTTCTCCAGATGGGGGTTTGCTGTGCACGTAACGGACAAGCTCCTCGGCAGGGCCCCGAGGGTACCACCAGCCCTCACTGCCCCGGCTCAGCCTCCCTGGGGCCTCCTCACGCACTGCCTGGGTCCCAGCCCACCGCAGCAGGGCTGGTCTCCAGCTCCCCACAGCCCTCCTCTTCCCAGCCATGGACCCCTCGGGAGCCAGCCCCAGCCTGTGGGCTGATGTCCTGGCCCAGCCCAGCCTCAGCCTGTCCCTGTCCCCAAGGAGGTTCCTGATGCCCAGGGCTGGGCTGCCCTGAGGCTGCCCTTTCCCTGGCTGGGGTGGTGGGATGGACCCTGGATGAAGGCCTTGCCCTGCCGCCCCAGGGGAGCCTCTGCAGCCCCGTGGTGCCTTGATGTTCCCCTCCTCAGAGAAGCATGCCATTCAGCTAAAAGCTATGTGCCTCCTGATAAGATGGACAAACTACACCTTTCCCTTTCCAGTGGGATTTTAGGTCAGATGAGTTTCAGTAGGGACAGGTTGAAAGTTTGGGACTGATAGTGGTCATGCTTTCTTCCAACAAGGGAAAGCTTTCATCTCATGTAGCCCTTGTTGGCTACCTGAGGTTTAACATGGATTCATAAAAACATCTTCACGAATTAATGTTATCATTCCCTCATTCTGTCATAATCACCACTCGATCACTTACAGAGTATGTATGCACTGCTTGTTACCTGTCCTTGCTGTAGAACAGGGTGTAATTGGTAGGAAGTCCTCCATCTGAGCCAGGCTTCCACCAACAAGAAAAGGTTTCCTTTTCTAGAGAACGACATCTTATTATCTTAGGTTTTCCAGGGTATGATTGATCTATGGAAGTGCAGAAATCCAGCTAGTTATATTAGAGTTGGACAATTTTTTTGTTGTTATTGCTGAATGATAAATGCAGCAAGGAATGCTTTTTTGAGTACAAAAAAATTATTTGAAACTATGAACTCAATTTGGCAAATAAATCTATGTGGAAAACGGGTCAAAACTTTCAGAAAAGTAAATATATTTTACTCCAAACTTCTAAAATAGCTACTAAAATTATTTTACTTCTTTTTTTTCAAAAGAAAACTTAATTTTTAACTGAACTTCAAAAGTGTACAGTTATCTCCAAATTAAATTTAAAAGCTTAGAAGTAAATGTATGACCTTTTGTTTTTTCCTCAACTACCCAAAATTTTTATCTTCAGGTTATCTTAAAATTAAATTTCACCTTCAACTTTGCCACAGAACCAGAATTCCACTATTTGCATGTATTTGGCTTAAATTATAGGTAACACAAGTAATGAAAAGAAGGAATCAATGGGCTGGATGGAGTATTTTGTGTGTAGGCAACCTGAATGTATTAATTAATTATTTGAATATTCCCTAATAATCTCAATACATTTAAGAATACTTCCTGTAAGACTACTTGTCATTAACTTCTACCAAGAACACAGAGCATAAATTTACATACATTTTGACATGAAAAGCATATGGCTTTTCAACCTAAGCTTACCTTTATTTCATTAAAGTTCCATACCATTATCTCTAATAGTGATACTACTCATATGATGCTAATTCCCAAGAAGGTGACAAGCATGGAGTGAGTGTAGGGATGAAGTGAGTGCCTTTCATCATCACCACCACATAATCATTAAATTAATACTATAAAAAGAAAAGAGGAGTCAAGCCATTTCCAAAATCTCCATAGGAAATTTTACAAGAAAGTCATTTAAGTATATATAGGCTCCAGTGGTGGTCAGGACAGGTCGAATAAAGCCTCAGATTTTTTTAAAGAAAGTGTTTTAAGGAAAAACAAGTGTTTCAGGAGGTGATGTACTTACCAGTCAGGCCCACTGCAGTCAGAGCAAGTTGCAAAATAATTTGAACTGATGATGTCAATTTCTGCTTCATGATGTCCGCTTCTTTTCAGGTGGAAGTATCAGATCAAAGGCTTACTGAAAAACATGCCGTCATACAATAGTCAATAACAATGCTTAACATGTAATACGTATCACTTTGCTTGACCAAAGTCCTTTTTGAATTGCAGCTATTTGATTCTTGTTATTCCTCAAAAGGTGCGGCAGCACCTACGGTTCCACTTCAGAAGTAGAAAACCTGAATCACAGAGTAATAAGTAGGTCTTCCTGATGGTCTCTGAATGGTTAGCATTGCTAGGATTACAATTCCACAGCATTAACAAATCTTGCATATTTATTTGACACCTTGGAATACTGGGTGCTTTTCTTAAAGCTCTAACTTTTAGACTCATTCATTACCTGAGAAATCAGCCTTTTAGTAACAAAAAATACACTTTTATCCCTGTTGATACAAAGAAGAGCTCAACACATTTGAACTCTGAAAGTCTGGAAAAGAGAAGAAAAATAGAAAATATCCAAAATTTATTTAGAATTTTATGATTTTTGAGCTGGTCTCATGACTTCTGAACATTTGGGACTGGCAGTATTGAATTCAGGATCACCTGAGCTGAAGAATGCTACTGATTCTGTGCGGTCAACTCAATGTTTTTACTGCATTTGATTTTGCAGTGAAGTGGAAATGCCAAGATCAGAAAAAGGTAACCAAGGAAAAAGTAGCGTTAACTTCACAGTTAATTCATCAGGTGAAAATGCAAGATGGGATGTAAATATCCCTCTTTCTTCAACCTGGAACGGCCAGAGGCAGTGTTGCAGAACTCGGCTGAAATAGAGAGGTGCCATCGGGAAGCCACCAGCGGTGAAGACCCAGTCCCTGCAGAGGTTGACACCACTAGATGTCCTCGGAATTCAGGTTACAGCTCAGGGTGGGCAGGAGTCCCTCTTGCTGCCAAATCTCTTTGCTCAGCCTGAAGAAAAGTCAGAATGACTTAAAGCAAACCTTCTACTTCTCCCACCAATATGCTTCCTGCTTGGAGACAGTAACCGGAGTCGGCAGCCAGCCCCACTCTTTGAAACTAAAGAAGGACAATTTACTATCTAAATAGGAAACTCCTTACCTCAGCATTCCACTCCTACCAAGCATATCTGACAGGTATTTGTATGTTTGAAACCTATTCAGTGTAGCACAGCGTGGGAACAAGCTGTCTCTGCTGAGGAAAAATTTTGTGGTTTATCAGATGACTCAGTTTTCATTATGCAATTCATTTTCTGTATCAAGAAACTAATCCGTCAGCATATAAATGTCTTTCAAGCGCAAAGGCAAATAAGTATGAGTTAATTTAACTGAGCCTAAAACATGTTTACTGTGGACAATATGGAAAGGAACAACAGTTGGCTACATTTCCATATACCACTTCTGAACATCCAGGCACTTTTCATGCATGTAACTGAGCTACGGGCTGCAAGATCACATCTGGGTTAGTTTTAAACTCTCTTACAGCAATCTGGGCATATACAGTCAGTGAAGAGGAAACCATTTAAATATAAATTCCAGTTTTGTGTAAGCACACGCAAATTTTCTGACTGTAAACAAACAGCAGGCATAAATGTTAGTGTTCAACTTCAGAAATGAGCTGAAAATTTGGTCTTATATAATGCGAAGCACAAACCATTGAGCTTATGCAAGAACAAGGCACATTTTTCTTATGTGAAGGTGAAATAATGAACTATAAACAGTAACTATTTCATGTACATATGATACCACTTACAATACTGTATTATTTCTAAAAATAGTTGGAACATTTGCAAAATACAGCACTTTCAAACTGAGACTCACACTGTGCTTCCATGTAGGGACTTGGTACAATGATTAATTTTTTTTACTTTTACAGATGTATCTTTTCTGTGTGAAGCATTGACAGATAAGAGAAACTCATTACAGTGAGTAAAAGAATGAAATTCGTCAATACCACAAAAGAGAGAGGTATCATCAAGAAAGAGCTGTAGTAGAGCACTCTGCAAGGAAAATGGCATAATTTTGGAAACTGAAGACCTAAAGAGCTAAATTAATAGAAACAGGATGAAATCAACGCATTTTAAACCATGCATTTTTCCTTGGGAGCATTTGTTTTTTAAAACTGAGATGATCATGAACCACTTCTGTAATGTGGCTGTGAAAAAGAACAGGAGAGATAGAGGGAAGGAATATGGACCTATTAGTGCCACAGACTAAACGCTGTGTACAATTCTGGTCTTACTACTACTGGTCTACTTGGGAAAAAAACCCACAGGTTAACCTATTCAGAACACATTTAGAACACAGCTACAAAGATGAGCAGGGGACACAAAGGCTGTCTTATGATGGTGATTTAAAGAATGGCTTTTTACTCATGCAAGGATACTTGTCTTCTATAAACATAGCAGGAGATTAGCAACAAAAGAGGGAAAATAAGAATATGTAAACTCTAACAAATGTTGCAACAGGAATAGATGGCCATAATTAGCTCAAAAAATTAGAGAGAAATGTTACCATTACAGCGGTGAGTTTCTGGAATACTCTTCCAAACACAAAAATCCCATTTAGTTTTCCCAAGTAGTCTGATTTATTAAGAAATATATATGACATGTTTAGTTGTGATAGCTGAGGACTGACTTCGTGATCCAATATATGCTTTCCAGGTCAGTGTTTCAATTCAAGTTAAATACCTTGAATTATTAAGTTAGAAAACTGTGCAGAAGTATGAGATGGTTGGATGTCCTATTTTACATTCAAGATTTAATGCTTTCAAAATATTTTCTATTAAAGAATTATCAGAACCTCTGTTTATTTGAAGATCGTACTTCAAAGTATCTTAGAAAAGCTTCATTCTGATATTTGTACTGCTTTCTGAAGGAATGTAAATATCAGTAAAGCAGTAGCCAGGAGGCGCCAGGCATACTAACCATATTTCATTTATTCCAGTGTCTGTGTTTCTATGGTTTACTGGTATTTGGTATTTGTGGTTCAAGTATCATTCATAAGGCTTCAGAAGAGATGTCTTGTTTTTTAAAAATACTTGCTTCAGTAGAAAAAATAATGCCCATTTTGTCATAACTATATCAAAAGTCCATCTCCCCTATCTATGACTTGAAAAGGTTTTCATAAAATGGTAACTAGCATTATTGAACATGCTGTGAGAGAACGCCTCACTTTTAGGACTGAATGCATTCATTTATAAGGGACACAGTGGACATTGATTTGCCAGAATGTCATGCAAAACCAAGGGTTGAGTAACTGATAATTAAAAGATCATATGTCTCCTTTTTGATGTTTTTTATTCAATTGCAACAAAGTTATTACATTCTGAAATTATAGTTGAATTTCTCCCTTTTAATACAGATGTTATATACTATTCAACAGCTGCACATTGCACCCCAGAAAACAGTGTGGCTTGATGGAAGTGGGAATGATTACTGGGGTTTTAGAATGCACAGAAGTGCTAGATAGTCCTGTAAAATAACCCTACTTTGCAGTTAATAATACTATGAAATTGTACATTTGAAAACTGTGCTTACAATGCTACTAGATGAATCGGAGAGTTAAATACCAATACTGAAATCAGGTGCTGTGGAGAGGGGTTGAGAGAAAAATGTCCTTGTCCTAATTGAGTTCTCGTTCTTACATTCTTTTCTCTCTCTTTCCTGGCTATGCTGATGGATAAATTTCTTGAGATTGAGAGAGAAGTCTTTAGTCAGCTCTGCACAGATGGAAAAAATTTCTATCTGCAATGTTTGCAAACTTGCAGGAAGGGGGACAAATGTATAGCACCCACTGGCAATGACATTATGTCCATCACAAGTTTTGCTCGTGCTGCTAAAGAAATCTAAAGCCCAAGGACTTTACCAATCCATATTGAACAAGATTCACATTCCCACCAGTTATGATGATAAACAATATGTGTCTTTCAGGCCTGGAGGAAGGCAGTTTAAGGAGTCTCAAAACACTGCACTTCATTATCATTTGAAAGGCTGAACTACAGCTATATTAAACCAAGTACAAATAAAGAACAGAATAAAGCAAGAATGTGACAATCTGTTAGACCATGCAGAATCCTACAGGCCATACATTCAACTACACTGTGGACATTGCATGAGTCTGCCTCAAATTCCAACACTGGTATATATCCCTAGCCAAGACTTGGAATTCGCAGTCACTAGATGCGTTTCGGAATGACAGTGATGGTTGGGATTATGCTGCACATTAAAAGCTGTGGATGTGCAGTGTGTCCAGAGCTCTGCTTTCCCTCTATGAACAAGCCCTAACTGGAAGTCTCCAAATTCTGAATCCCTCAAGCACCCAGTACAGCCTTCATGGAGATGTATAGGCTCTAGAGATGACAGGGAGTTCAGACATGTCTCTGATCTGAACTTCTTGTGACTGATTCCAGGTGGCTACTTTTAGCACGTATGTTTTGTGGAGTGCTTTGTGAGGATGCTTGGTTCCTGCTGTTGGATATGTAAAGAAACCTAGACATTCAGTTAATTTCTTGGGATCAAGCACTTCCTATTTCTGTGTTGCATAAACTGGAAGCACCTACAAGTTCTTTCAGATTTCACCTGAAAAGCCTATATAAGGGTTTCTAATTTATTTTTCCTAAACTTCTCTTTTAAACAAACCTTCTCCTAATGACCTTTTGTAGATCTTCCTCTGATAAGCAGTCAATGTTATGATCAACGGAACAGCTTCTCACACCCATGGAGATGTGCTCCTCAATCTGAAAGACTTAAGTCATTTTTGAAAAAGAAGTATCACGAAACCTCAGATTCTTGAAAATAGTTTAGACGCTTACTTCATCAAAGTATTTATGCATTTAACTCCTATTGATTTTACAGAACTGAACCTGAAACTCTCTTTAAAACTCTCAACATCTAAACTGACAAGGAAAGCTAACACAACAAAAAGAACGCACCATTATCCCTACTTTACAGATGGGGAACTAAGACAGAGAACAATTAAGTACTTTGCTCAGACTCATACTAGAAATGTAACAAAAGCTAAAAAGCTGATCCTTTCCTACTAGTTTGTTTTTTTTTTTTCTTTTCTGAATACCACCTCTACTGCCTTTGTTTTCCCAATAAAATATGATTTAGCTAACAATAGCAATGTTCCTCTACCAGTCTCACAGCTCCCGAATATTCTGTTTTCATCTGTGGTGGTCTGTACATTTAGCCATAATTTCAGAATTATTATTTTTTTTGTCTTTTACA